TGGCTAGCTCTGCATGGTGTACAGTAGCTATTCTAGTTTCCGTAGGCCTCCCTTTCCCCAGCTTGGCGTCACTTGTTCGTTCTGCTTGTATAACGGTGAGGAATTATTCAATCCAACATGGCAACGCACCCTGGAAAAAAGTCTGGGGACACTGGCAACTGTTCAAACATTTGACAGTGTTTAAATTCTCTGATACTAAATAGTCAACGTTAATATATTGTAGTGCATCCCAAGTTGCAACCTATTTCCCATAGGTCCACAGGGTCCATATGGGCTCTGGTCAAAAGTAGTGCACTATATAGGGAAAAGGGTGCCATTTGGGACTCAGGTAGACCGTGTCAATGTATAAACAGACTGACATGCAGGTTGAAATGCTGACTAACCTTCTCACACATGGGTACGGATGGTATCTAGCTAACCCTCTCACACATGGGTACGGATGGTATCTAGGATGGTATCTAGGATGGTATCTAGGATGGTATCTAGGATGGTATCTAGGATGGTATAGACATCTAGGCTTTGTCTCTTTCACGCACATACACACACACACACACACACACACACACACACACACACACACACACACACACACATACACACAGAGACAGACAGACAGACAGACAGACAGACAGACAGACAGACAGACAGACAGACAGACAGACAGACAGACAGACAGACAGACAGACACACAAACACACAAACACACACACACACACACAGACAGACACATCACAGACAGACACATCACAGACAGACACATCACACACACACACACACACACACACACACACACACACACACACACACACACACACACACACACACACACACACACCACACACACACACAGGTGCAGCCAGCCAGTTCATATTATTATTAGGCTACAGAGCCTTTCATGACTACCAGAGTGATTCCTGTTACTCCCATCATTATATCCAGGCTTATACCACCTGTATGTGTGTGTGTATGTGTGTGCTTGTGTTCTTGTGTGTATGTGTCTGTTCCACCTCCATACACTCCCAAAGCGCCTCCGGAAAAGATTTTGTGCAGACCAGATCTCCAGCTCTGTTTAGATCTGGGGTATAAACTGTAAACCGTTTTGTGTTTAAAAACAGCAGATGCTTATGTAGCCTGTTCTGTTGGGCTCTCCACACACAGATATTAGACAAGCTGACGGGTTAGTGTTTTTAATTAGGTGACACCGGACAAACCGGCCTGGGCCCAGGTCTATTTGTGCAGTGTTGTGTACTAATGGTAGGTCGTTTCATGTTTCATGTTGATGTTTCATGTTGAATGTTTCTTGTTGAATGTTTCATGTTGAATGTTTCATGTTGAATGTTTCTTGTTGAATGTTTCTTGTTGAATGTTCATGTTTGATGTTCATGTTGAATGTTTCATGTTTCATGTTGAATGTTCATTGGTTCTAATTCTAAGAATCTGCTAGGACTATTCTATCAATAGATGCTAATTCTATTGTTCTGTGAGATCTGATACACTTGTTGGTCTGAGTTTGATCAAATCTGTTGGATTCCAATCAACTTATCTCATGAACGTGGAACATTATACGTTATTGATGGTTCTCTGTGAGATATTACTGAGAAAGTGATTCTGACAGCATACAATTTCCTTTCTAAATACTTGTTTTCTATGTGCGGCCACATATTGCATTTCTAGATGATTGTCTAATTTAATCAGAGCAGCGATTAAAGCTGTCACTGAGAGACCAATTTGATTTGCCAAGTTCTGAATAGGCTACCGTAAAGGAAGGATAATGCAGATGATCCTATCCATCCATAATAAGCACCATTCCCCGACTCATATTCAAGAGGAATTCACCCTTTAGTTTGTGTCCCAAATGTCACCCTGTTTTCTATACAGTGCACTACTTTTGTAGGCAATAGGATGCCATTTGGGATGCAACCTCAAAATATTCCATTCACACATTTTGCAGAGCTGTGCTTTCCTATACAATGTCATGCTTGGATGCGAGCATGATTGAGGTGATGAGATTACACAAAGAGTAAACCATGAGATCTTAACCAGACTGGTCTTGATATGCACTCACTTTACTGTAAGTCCCCTTTGCATAAGTATTGTTATGTTGATCACATAAATACACTGTGATGGATAGTGCAATAACACAGACTCTGGCTTGAAGGACCAATCTGATAAATAAGGGATGGCTTTTTTTAATGGCTGTGATAGGAGAAAACTGAGGATGGATCAACAACATTGTATTTACTCCACAATACAAACCTAATTGACAGAGTGAAAAAATTAAGTCTCTACAGAATAACACATTTTCCAAAACATGCATCCTGTTTGGAATAAGGCCCTAAAGCAAAACTGCAAAAAAATAAACGTTTTGTCCTGAATACAAATTGTTATGTTTGGGGAAAATCCAACACAACACATCAATGAGTACCACATTTCTTATTTTCAAGCATGGTGGTGGATTTTCAAGCAAAGGATTTTTTATTATTATGCTAATGGACTTGGTCTTTTACCAAATAGGGCTATCTTCTGTATACCACCCCTACCTTGTCACAACACAACTGATTGGTTCAAACGCATTAAGAAGGAAAGAAATTCCACAAATGAACTTTTAAGAAGGCACACCTGTTAATTGAAATGCATTCCAGGTGACTACCTCATGAAGCTGCTTGAGAGAATGCCAAGAGTGTGCAAAGTTGTCATCGAGGCAAATGGTGGCTACTTTGAAGAATCTAAAATATAGAATATATTTTGATTTGTTTAACACTTTTTTTGGTTGCTACATGATTCCATATGTGTTATTTCATAGTTTTGATGTCTTCACTATTATTCTACAATGTAGAAAATAGTAAAAAATAAAGAAAAACCCTTGAATGAGTAGGTGTGTCCAAACTTTTGACTGGTACTATATGTAATTTCTCATGTCTCACAAGAAGCTCTGTCAATGTATTAATTCTGTGCTTGGCTATACTCAGTCTCACCAGCACCAGTAGGAGCATTAGAAGAGAAGTTACAGTGAGATGTATGCAACCAGTCAATAACACTGCTGGAGCTTCTGAGAATATAAATATAATTACTAGAATGGACATTCCTGTTGAAGTCCATGTTCTGTAATTGCATTTCTATGGTTCTGGGGCCATGGTAGAGAAGGGAGACAGGACGTTCTGACAGTCTGAGCCACACACGTCTGACTGGCATTGGACATTTCTGTGATGATCGGAGCAAGGAGGGAGAGATGGGGGAGAGAGGAAGGTAGGGAGAGAGGGAGGAAATGAGAGAGGGAGATAGGGAGAGAGGGAGGGAAGAAGAGAGGGAGGTAGGGAGAGAGGAAGGTAGGGAGAGAGGAAGGGAAGGAAGGAGAGAGGAAGGTAGGGAGAGAGGAAGGTAGGGAGAGAGGGAGGGAAGGAGAGAGGGAGATAGGGAGGGAAGGAGAGAGGGAGGGAGAGAGGAAGGGAAGGAGAGAGGAAGGGAGGGAAGGAAGGAGGAAGGTAGGGAGAGAGGAAGGTTGGGAGAGAGGAAGGTAGGGAGAGAGGGGAGGGAGTGGGAGGACAGAGAGGGAGGTAGGGAGAGAGGAAGGTAGGGAGGAGGGGAGGGAAGGAAGGAGAGAGGAAGGTAGGGAGAGAGGAAGGTAGGGAGAGAGGGAGGGAAGGAAGGCGAGAGGAAGGTAGGGAGAGAGGAAGGTAGGGAGAGAGGGAGAGAGAGAGCGAGAAGGTGAGAGGGAGAGAGAGAGAGCGAGAGGAAGGTAGGGAGAGTGGAAGGTAAGAGAGAGGGAGGGAGGGAGAAAGGAAGGTAGGGAGAGAGGAAGGTAGGGAGAGAGGAAGGAGGGAGGAAGGTAGGGAGAGAGGAAGGTAGGGAGAGAGGGAGAGAGAGAGAGCGAGAGGGAGGGAGGGAGAGAGGCCGGATGCATGGATGTCTTTTCTACTAGGCACCAACAGCTGCACACATCGTATCCGCACCTCATAATGCACCTGTTAGTCAGACTCTATTGTTTTAATGGTCTGGATATAACAGCTGGCTCTCTTTTGTCTATCTGTCTGTCTGTCTGGATGTGTCTGGTCTGGTCTGGAAAGTTGTTGATAAGGGGACACAATGGAAACATCTGCATCAGTTCGGTTTGTGAGGTGGTTGGTGTGAACGGACTGTAGAGTATCTCACAGTGCAGTGCTTAAAGTTCTGTGCAAACAATCTGTACAGAGCAAGTCACAGTGGTGAGAAATGATTAGAGTTAGACAATATACTGAAGTAGGCCCTCTGCTTCCCAATTTGGAATCCCAATGTCTCTCTGCAATGTTGATTGATTGATTTGACGCTCTGGATAAGAGCGTCTGCTAAATGACGTAAATGTAAATGTAAAATTTGACAATGTTGTACTGTTCTGTTAACCACAATGAATTGGCAGAAACATACTCAAAGTCTCGCATTAAATAGAAGTCAGAGGAGAGAGACTAAATCTCTGGTAACTGGGTTTGTTTCTGCATCCGGGGGTATCGTTCTTCCAGGGCCGGATACAAGGCAGGCTAACTAGCTTCAGTAGCTGGCCTTGTACACTGGCTGGCCCTCATGCCTCCATAACTCCACAGCTCCCTGGTAATTGGGTTTCTAATTGTCAACCAGGGGGATTGTCTTGTTTCTCCTGAGGTAGGCAGGTAGACAGGGGCAGACAAAGCAGAGCAGGGAGGGAGGCAGGGCTATTTGTCCTTGTCCTCTGGCTCGCTCCACATCTCCACAGTTCCAAAGTTCCCTGGAGAAGTGTCTTCACGCCCTTCTGTTGTGCAGGAGAAACCGAAGGGACCGGCACACTCTGTGGGGCAAGATAAACCTAAGGGACCGGCACACTCTGTGGGGCAGGAGAGGGCCTTGTGAGACACATGGGACTGTACAGCCTTGAGACCCTGTGTGACCAGAGACCTGGAGACCCTGTATGATCAGAGACCTGGAGACCCTGTGTGATCAGAGACCTGGAGACCCTGTTTGATCAGAGACCTGGAGACCCTGTGTGATCAGAGACCTGGAGACCCCTGTGTGACCAGAGACTGGAGACCCTGTGTGATCAGAGACCTGGAGACCCCTGTTTGATCAGAGACCTGGAGACCCCGTGTGATCAGAGACTGGAGACCCTGTTTGATCAGAGAGACCTGGAGACCCTGTGTGATCAGAGACCTGGAGACCCTTCTGTGACCAGAGACCTGGAGAACCCTGTGTTGATCAGAGACCTGGAGACCCTGTTTGATCAGAGACCTGGAGACCCTGTGTGATCAGAGACCTGGAGACCCTGTTTGATCAGAGACCTGGAGACCCTGTTTGATCAGAGACCTGGAGACCCTGTGTGACCAGAGACCTGGAGACCCTGTTTGATCAGAGACCTGGAGACCCTGTGTGATCAGAGACCTGGAGACCCCCTGTGGTGATCAGAGACCTGGCAGGACCCCTGTTTGATCAGAGACCTGGAGACCTGTGTGATCAGAGACTGAGACCCTGGTTGATTCAGAGACCTGGAGACCCTGTGTGATCAGAGACCTGGAGACCCTGTGTGATCAGAGACCTGGAGACCCTGTGTGATCAGAGACCTGGAGACCCTGTGTGATCAGAGACCTGGAGACCCTGTGTGATCAGAGACCTGGAGACCCTGTTTGATCAGAGACCTGGAGATCCTGTGTGCTTTACACACACTGATGAATGTTGTTCTGATTATAGACTAGATGGGCTCAGATAGTAGATGTTCTGTATTGATGGCACTCATTCTGCAGAGAAAAACATTAGTCAAACTCATTATAGTGCCCAGACCCTTGACTCCCTCCCCCTGGTGCGTTACATTAACTAATGAATGTTGTAATGATTTTTTATTTTACCTTTATTTAACTAGGCAAATCAGTTAAGAACAAATTCTTATTTACAATGACGCCCTAACCCGGACGACGCTGGGCCAATTGTGCGCCGCCCTATGGTACTCCCAATCACGGCCGGTTGTGATACAGCCTGGAATCGAACCAGGGGGTCTGTAGTGACGCCTCAAGCGCTGAGTTGCAGTGCCTTAGACCGCTGCGCCACTCGGGAGCCCTGATATTGAGGAGCTACGGCTTTTCTTTGTAGAGGTGTACTCTAGATTTGTCTTTCCATTAAAAATGTTTCATTCCGCCGTCACAAGATTGATGGTGCTCATTCTGTCCAAATAAATATTGAAATGTGATGTAACCATTACAATATGTAGCTGTTAATCATTTAACCTTCAATTGAAGTCGAAAGTTTTCACAATTCCTGACATTTAATCCTAGTAAACATTCCCTGTCTTAGGTCAGTTAGGATCGCCACTTTATTTTAAGAATATGAAATGTCAGAATAATAGTAGAGATAATTATTTCTTTCAGCTTTTATTTCTTTCATCACATTCCCAGTGGGTCAGAAGTTTACATACACTCAATTAGTATTTAGTAGCATTGCCATTAAATGGTTTAACTTGGGGTAAAACGTTTCGGGTAGCCTTCCACAAGCTTCCCACAATAAGTTGGTTGAATTTTGGCCCATTCCTCCTGACAGAGCTGGTGTAACTGAGTCAGGTTTGTAGGCCTCCTTGCTCGCACACACTTTTTAAGTTCTGCCCACAAATGTTCTATAGGATATAGGTCAGGGCTTTGTGATGGCCACTCCAATACCTTGACTTTGTTGTCCTTAAGCCATTTTGCCACAACTTTGCAAGTATGCTTGGGGTCATTGTCCATTTGGAAGACCCATTTGCGACCAAGCTTTAACTTCCTGACTGATGTCTTGAGATGTTGCTTCAATATATCCACATAATTTTCCTTCCTCATGATGCCATCTATTTTGTGAAGAGAACCAGTCTCTCCTGCAGCAAAGCACCCCCACAGCATGATGCTGCCACCCCCGTGCTTCATGGTTGGGATGGTGTTCTTCGGCTTGCAAAGGCCCCCTGTTTCCTCCAAACATAACGATGATCATTATGGCCAAACAGTTCTATTTTTGTTTCATCAGACCAGAGGACATTTCTCCAAAAAGTACGATTTTTGTCCCCATGTGCAGTTGCAAACCATAGTCTGGCTTTTTTATGGCGGTTTTGGAGCAGTGGCTTCTTCCTTGCTGAGCGGCCTTTCAGGTTATGTCGATATAGGACTCGTTTTACTGTGGAGGTCCTTTGCTGTTGTTCTGGGATTGATTTACACTTTTCACACCAAAGTACCTTCATCTCCAGGAGACAACGGTCTCCTTCCTGAGCGGTATGAAGTGGTGGTCCCATGTGTTTATACTTGCGTACTATGTTTTACGTAAGAACGGTACATTCAGCTGTTGGAAATTGCTCCCAAGGATGAACAGATTGTGGAGGTCTAACATTTGGACTATTTCTTTTGATTTCCCATGACGTCAAGCAAAGAGGCATGAGTTGAAGGGAGGCTTGAATAAACCACAGTACACTCATTGACTCAAATGAAGTCAATTAGCCTATTAGCTTCTAAAGCCATGACATGGAATTTTCCAAGCTGTTTAAAGGCACAGTCAACTTAGTGTATGTAAACTTCTGACCCACTGAAATTGTGATACAGTGAATTATAAGTGAAATAATCTATTTGTAAACAATTATTGGAAAAATTACTTGTGTCATGCACAAAGTAGATGTCCTAACCGACTTGCTAAAACTATAGTTTGTTAAAAAGAAATTAGTGGAGTGGTTGAAAAACGAGTTTTAATGACTCCAACCAACCTAAGTGTATGTAAACTTCCGACTTCAACTGTAACTGTCTTCAGTGTGATGTAGTCATTAGAACAGTGGTCACCAACCTTTTCTGAGTCAAGATCACTTCCTGAGTCAGAATGCAAGCCGAGATCTACCGCTCTGATATATATATATTTTAAAGACGTAAGCCTATGCAACATTAACCAATTAAAAACGGTATTGTAGCAATGAGGTTTGTGCACTAGGCTATAGGCCCAATACATTATCACTGCATATTGGCTACGCTTGAATTGCACTGCCAATGTTGTTCTTCTCAGACCATTCTGAAATTATATATTTTTTAAAACGTTAAGGTATATGATCACACTGGTAATAGATCATTTGTTGTATTACTTGTGAGGCACAGCTGTTGGTGAAACTTAATTAGAACTGCATTACTTCTGCCTCATGCACCGATTCATGTTGTTACTCCTATGACCAGAGAAAGTGAAATATTCCTTCGAAATTAAAAACAGACAAAAGATGCAAATAATAACAACGCTAGCTTATCGGAACACTTTGCTACACTCATTCAATGCAGCTGCAGTGCTGGTTGTAGCGTGAGTGGAAGTAGGGAGAACGCATTTTATGGCTTATAAAACAGTTGAACAAAGTGTTGACAGTGCTGAATAACAACTTAAACTTACTCATATAAACAGCAGCTCTTTGCTGTATTTGTTGAGTCTCTCTCTAGTTGTGGTTTTAAATGTTTTGAAATCTCACATGATCAACTTTGCTGTGCGTTCGCGGTTTCTTTTTACCAGTCTAAAAGGCTCTGCACTGACACGGCCTCTGCAGATGTCAGGGTGTTCATTATTTTTGCGCTTCACGGAGCAGAATGAAGCTGTTGTGAAGGAAGTTGTCAAGGAAGTGAGTTTGTGTTTATACAGGACGTCCCGCCCCCACCTACCATTCAACCAATCATGTTATAGCTATACGGAACTATACGGAGCCCTCTGCATTGTTAGAAAATTTGGGAGGCGCACGGCGATGCGGTACGGAGCTCAATTTGGCCTCCGCAATTGCGTCCCTCCCGAGGAACCTGCGCAGACACGGTGATCTGAGCTATCTGACTGGCCAGCAGTAGGTCTATTTTTATTTTTTTATTTTTTATGTAGAAAATAGTAAAAGTAAAGAAAAACCCTTGAATGATGTAGCCGTTAGAAGATGTAGCTGTCTTCAGGGTGATGTAGCCATTAGAAGATGTAGCTGTCTTCAGTGTGATGGAGCCATTAGAAGATGTAGCTGTCTTCAGGGTGATGTAGCCATTAGAAGATGTAGCTGTCTTCAGTGTGATGTAGCCGTTAGAAGATGTAGCTGTCTTCAGTGTGATGTAGCCGTTAGAAGATGTAGCTGTCTTCAGTGTGATGTAGCCATTAGAAGATGTATCTGTCTTCAGTGTGATGGAGCCGTTAGAAGATGTAGCTGTCTTCAGTGTGATGTAGCCATTAGAAGATGTAGCTGTCTTCAGGGTGATGTAGCTGTCTTCAGTGTGATATAGCCATTAGAAGATGTATCTGTCTTCAGTGTGATGTAGCCATTAGAAGCTGTAGCTGTCTTCAGTGTGATGTAGCCGTTAGAAGATGTAGCTGTCTTCAGGGTGATGGAGCCATTAGAAGATGTAGCTGTCTTCAGGGTGATGTAGCCGTTAGAAGATGTAGCTGTCTTCAGGGTGATGGAGCCATTAGAAGATGTATCTGTCTTCAGTGTGATGTAGCCATTAGAAGCTGTAGCTGTCTTCAGTGTGATGTAGCCGTTAGAAGATGTAGCTGTCTTCAGGGTGATGGAGCCATTAGAAGATGTAGCTGTCTTCAGGGTGATGTAGCCGTTAGAAGATGTAGCTGTCTTCAGGGTGATGGAGCCATTAGAAGATGTATCTGTCTTCAGTGTGATGTAGCCTTTAGAAGATGTAGCTGTCTTCAGTGTGATGGAGCCGTTAGAAGATGTAGCTGTCTTCAGTGTGATGTAGCCGTTAGAAGATGTAGCTGTCTTCAGTGTGATGGAGCCGTTAGTCATCTAGCTACTCATTAAAACATGTATGATGCTCATCATCAAACTGGTGTTGATTAGGATGTGACCAACTGAGTATGGAGGTCGACAAACATCACTGTAAACAATCAGCACGTCTGAAAATTGGCAGTTTTCATATTCCCTCGTATAGTCTGGGGCTGCATTCCAAATGGCACCCTTTTTTCCTGTATAGTGCACTACTTTGGACAAGGGCCCTGATCAAAAGTAGTGCACTGTGTAGGGAATAGGGCACAATTTGAGCTGGCCCTGTGACTGTGAGAAGACTCTAGGGTTATCTGTCGTCCTCTCCCGTCCTCCTGCTCAACGTGATAGCAGCTGGTTAAATATGTACCTTGCCGTCGATGCCATTCAGGCACTTAGTATCTGCCATCTCTACAGTCAGCCCTCCAACACAAATCAATCAGCTGTGCAGTACTTTGGATGTATTTACAATGCTAACACAAAACACAATGATAACCCGATCCCATACAGAGTTATTGTGGGAGATGAGCAGGAAATCGGGTGAATGCTCGGCCAGGGACTCTCAGTGGTGAAACTGAGTTTAAGGTCAGAAGCAGAGCGGACACCTGCCATGATTCTCTTCTGTAAACAGTTTAACTGGACGGGTGGATGCTGCTGAGGGGAGGACGGCTCATAATAATGTCTGGAATGGAGTCAATGGAATGGCATCAAACACATGGAAAACACGTATTTGATACATTTCCATTATCTCCATTCCAGACATTATTATGAGCCGTCCTCCTCTCAGCAGCCTCCAACGATAGACGTAGGTGTATTCTCAATCATTTAATAATTCTTTATCATCCTAGATTTGATCGGAAATCGATGGCAACACATGAAAAGAATAGAATACACAGAATGTACAGTGATATAAAAAAGTCTGGTAGTTGTCAGGTGAGATATAATGGAGAGCTGATGGAAACAGGTGAGATATAATGGAGAGCTGATGGAAACAGGTGTGTGTTTCCAACCCTCTCTGGGCCTCCCTCCCCCATCCCTGATGGGCCTTGTGGCTGCATAGTGGCTGATGGCTGGGTAGATGATGGGCCTTGTGGCTGATGGCTGGGTAGAGGATGGGCCTTGTGGCTGCATAGTGGCGGACGGCTGGGTAGAGGATGGGCCTTGTGGCTGCATAGTGGCTGATGGCTGGGTAGATGATGGGCCTTGTGGCTGCATAGTGGCTGATGGCTGGGTAGAGGATGGGCCTTGTGGTTGCATAGTGGCTGATGGCTGGGTAGAGGATGGGCCTTGTGGCTGCATAGTGGCGGACGGCTGGGTAGAGGATGGGCCTTGTGGCTGCATAGTGGCTGATGACTGGGTAGATGATGGGCCTTGTGGCTGATGGCTGGGTAGAGGATGGGCCTTGTGGCTGCATAGTGGCTGATGGCTGGGTAGATGATGGGGCTTGTGGCTGCATAGTGGCGGACGGCTGGGTAGATGATGGGCCTTGTGGCTGATGGCTGGGTAGAGGATGGGCCTTGTGGCTGCATAGTGGCTGATGGCTGGGTAGATGATGGGCCTTGTGGCTGCATGGTGGCTGATGGCTGGGTAGATGATGGGCCTTGTGGCTGCATGGTGGCTGATGGCTGGGTAGATGATGGGCCTTGTGGCTGCATGGTGGCTGATGGCTGGGTAGATGATGGGCCTTGTGGCTGCATAGTGGCTGATGGCTGGGTAGATGATGGAGCTTGTGGCTGCATAGTGGCTGATGGCTGGGTAGATGATGGGCCTTGTGGTTGATGGCTGGGGTAGAGGATGGGCCTGTGGCTGCATAGTGGCTGATGCTGGGGTAGAGATGGCCTTGTGGCTGCATGGTGGCTGATGGCTGGGTAGATGATGGGCCTTGTTGGCTGCATGGGTGGCTGATGGCTGGGTAATGATGGGCCTTGTGGCTGCATGGTGGCTGATGGCTGGGTAGGTGATGGGCCTTGTGGCTGCATAGTGGCTGATGGCTGGAGGCCCTGTTTTACAGCACTGCCAGATTAGAGAGGCTGTTGCTCTGGAATCTGGGTTGTTCTCTGGTCTGAGTGTGATCTGTTTTTGAATCCTGACCAGATTCATCCTCTCGCCCTTGTAAACCATTAGCTTTAAATCATCAATTGTGTACTAGATTAGTGATAGTTTCTCGAGTCGTGAAACAGTTTCCACTGGATAGTAATGGTTACCATTACTCTCTGTCTCAATCAATCAATCAATCAATTTTATTTTATATAGCCCTTCTTACATCAGCTAATATCTCGAAGTGCTGTACAGAAACCCAGCCTAAAACCCCAAACAGCTAGTAATGCAGGTGTAGAAGCACGGTGGCTAGGAAAAACTCCCTAGAAAGGCCAAAACCTAGGAAGAAACCTAGAGAGGAACCAGGCTATGAGGGGTGGCCAGTCCTCTTCTGGCTGTGCCGGGTGGAGATTATAACAGAACCATGCCAAGATGTTCAAAAATGTTCATAAGTGACAAGCATGGTCAAATAATAATCAGGAATAAATCAGTCTCTGTTCCTGCCTCCTCCTTTATGAGTCAGCATAGATGGCTGTTAGTGCTGTGATGTGACTGTTCCCTGCTGTTGGTGCTGTGGGTGTGACTGTTCCCTGCTGTTGGTGCTGTGGGTGTGACTGTTCCCTGCTGTTGGTGCTGTGGGTGTGACTGTTCCCTGCTGTTGGTGCTGTGGGTGTGACTGTTCCCTGCTGTTGTGCTGTGGGTGTGACTGTTCCCTGCTGTTGGTGCTGTGGGTGTGACTGTTCCCTGCTGTTGGTGCTGTGGGTGTGACTGTTCCCTGCTGTTGTGTGCTGTGGGTGTGACTGTTCCTGCTGTTGGTGCTGTGGGTGTGACTGTTCCCTGCTGTTGGTGCTGTGGGTGTGACTGTTCCCTGCTGTTGGTGCTGTGGGTGTGACTGTTCCCTGCTGTTGGTGCTGTGGGTGTGACTGTTCCCTGCTGTTGGTGCTGTGGGGTTGACTGTTCCCTGCTGTTGGTGCTGTGGGTGTGACTGTTCCCTGCTGTTGGTGCTGTGGGTGTGACTGTTCCCTGCTGTGGTGCTGTGGTGGTGTGACTGTTCCCTGCTGTTGGTGCTGTGGGTGTGACTGTTCCCTGCTGTTGGTGCTGTGGGTGTGACTGTTCCCTGCTGTTGGTGCTGTGGGTGTGACTGTTCCCTGCTGTTGGTGCTGTGGGTGTGACTGTTCCCTGCTGTTGGTGCTGTGGGTGTGACTGTTCCCTGCTGTTGGTGCTGTGGGTGTGACTGTTTCCCTGCTGTTGGTGCTGAGTGTGAATGTTCCCTGGTTGGTGCTGTGGGTGTGACTGTTCCCTGCTGTTAGTGCTGTGGTGTGACTGTTCCCTGCTGTTGGTGCTGAGGTGTGACTGTTCCCTGCTGTTGGTGCTGTGGGTGTGACTGTTCCCTGCTGTTGGTGCTGTGATGTGACTGTTCCCTGCTGTTGGTGCTGTGGGTGTGACTGTTCCCTGCTGTCAGCTGTTCTCTGCATGGCAGCACACATGAAGGTGTTAAACTAATTGAATCACTTTTCACCTCTCAGCAGGACCCCATCTCTCTCTGTGTGTGTGTGTGTGTGTGTGTGTGTGTGTGTGTGTGTGTGTGTGTGGTGTGTGTGTGTGGTGTGTGTGTGTGTGTGTGTGTGTGTGTGTGTGTGTGTGTGTGCGCATGCGTGTGTGTTACCATAGATGTAATTTATTTGAAATGGCAGTGATTTTCTCTCAAAGCATTTTTTTGTCCTGGACTGGTGTTTCTACAGAGTAATTGTCAGCTTGCTGAAGTGAAAACAGCAGAAATCAGCCAGTAATGTTGAAATAAAAAGCTGTAGGGAGGTAAATGTAACACTGTTTCTCTCCAAAAGTTTAAACATATCCTCTGTAAGTAGAATGGGCCATGTTACCTGTCTATTTTTCAGTAACACCTTACATTAGTAACAGCATGGAATAAGCAACAGTCCCTATCGCTGTCAACAGTCCCTATCGCTGTCAACAGTCCCTATCGCTGTCACGTAAGTAGAATGGGCCATGTTACCTGTCTATTTTTCAGTTACACCTTACATTAGTAACAGCATGGAATAAGCAACAGTCCCTATCGCTGTCACGCCCTGGCCTATAGAACTCTAGCTAGTTTGGTCAGGGTGTGAATATTCTAGGTGTTGTATTTCTATGTTTGGCCGGGTGTGGTTCCCAATCAGAGGCAGCTGTCGCTCGTTGTCTCTGATTGGGGATCATACTTAGGCAGCCTGTTTTCCTGACTGTTGTTGTGGGATCTTGTTGTGTTCCTGTTTAGGCTTGTGTGTTAGCCCTTTGGACCGTCACGGTTAAGTTTGTTATTTTGGTTACTGCGTCGTGTGTTTATTAGTTAATAAACATGTACGCCTTTCACGCTGCACCTTGGTCCGACCCGTCTCTTAACGTCTGTGACAATCGCACTTGTGTGATAACAGAAAATGCTCCACTCCATTGCTATGCTAGTACAATTTAGTTACTAAAGTACTAGTACAGTGAGGGAAAAAAGTATTTGATCCCCTGCTGATTTTGTACGTTTGCCCACTGACAAAGAAATTATCCGTCTATAATTTTAATGGTAGGTTTATTTGAACAGTGAGAGAAAGAATAACAACAAAAGAATCCAGAAAAACGCATGTCGAAAATGTTATAAATTGATTTGCATTTTAATGAGGGAAATAAGTATTTGACCCCCTCTCAATCAGAAAGATTTCTGGCTTCCAGGTGTCTTTTATACAGGTAACGAGCTGAGATTAGGAGCACACTCTTAAAGGGAGTGCTCCTAATTTCAGCTTGTTACCTGTATAAAAGACACCTGTCCACAGAAGCAATCAATCAATCAGATTCCAAACTCTCCACCATGTCCAAGACCAAAGAGCTCTCCAAGGATGTCAGGGACAAGATTGTAGACCTACACAAGGCTGGAATGGGCTACAAGACCATCGCCAAGCAGCTTGGTGAGAAGGTGACAACAGTTGGTGCGATTATTCGCAAATGGAAGAAACACAAAATAACTGTCAATCTCCCTCGGCCTGGGGCTCCATGCAAGATCTCACCTCGTGGAGTTGCAATGATCATGAGAACGGTGAGGAATCAGCCCAGAACTACATGGGAGGATCTTGTCAATGATCTCAAGGCAGCTGGGACCATAGTCACCAAGAAAACAATTGGTAACACACTGCGCCGTGAAGGACTGAAATCCTGCAGCGCCCGCAAGGTCCCCCTGCTCAAGAAAGCACATATACAGGCCCGTCTGAAGTTTGCCAATGAACATCTGAATGATTCAGAGGAGAACTGGGTGAAAGTGTTGTGGTCAGATGAGACCAAAATCGAGCTCTTTGGCATTACATTTACATTTACGTCATTTAGCAGACGCTCTTATCCAGAGCGACTTACAAATTGGTGCATTCACCTTATAGCCAGTGGGATAACCACTTTACAATATGTTTTTTTTTTTTGGTGGGGTGGGGTAAGGGGGGGTAGAAGGATTACTTTATCCTATCCCAGGTATTCCTTAAAGAGGTGGGGTTTCAAGTGTCTCCGGAAGGTGGTGAGTGACTCTGCTGTCCTGGCTGTCTCCGCTGTCCTGGCTGTCTCCGCTGTCCTGGCATCAACTCAACTCGCCCCAAGAACACCATCCCCACCGTCAAACATGGAGGTGGAAACATTATGCTTTGGGGGTGTTTTTCTGCTAAGGGGACAGGACAACTTCACCGCATCAAAGGGATGATTGATGGGGCCATGAACCTCCTTCCCTCAGCCAGGGCATTGAAAATGGGTCGTGGATGGGTATTCCAGCATGACAATGACCCAAAACACATGGCCAATGCAACAAAGGAGTGACTCAAGAAGAAGCACATTAAGGTCTTGGAGTGGCCTAGCCAGTCTCCAGACCTTAATCCCATAGAGGGAGCTGAAGGTTGGAGTTGCCAAGCGTCAGCCTCGAAACCTTAATGACTTGGAGAAGATCTGCAAAGAGGAGTGGGACAAAATCCCTCCTGAGATGTGTGCAAACCTGGTGGCCAACTACAAGAAGCATCTGACCTCTGTGATTGCCAACAAGGGTTTTGCCATCAAGTACTAAGTCATGTTTTGCAGAGGGGGTCAAATACTTATTTCCCTCATTTAAAATGCAAATCAATTTATAACATTTTTTTACATGCGTTTTTTTCTGGATTTTGTTGTTGTTATTCTGTCTCTCACTGTTCAAATAAACATACCATTAAAATTATAGACTGATCATTTCTTTGTCAGTGGGCAAACATACAAAATCAGCAGGGGATCAAATACTTTTTTCCCTCACTGTATGTACCTGTTTCCTGTAACCATGTCCCGTCCAACATGTTTCCTCTCACTGACTTAGAGTGTTTTGTACTATGAAAGCGCTTTCTGACAACTGCTGACGTAAAAAGGGCTTTATAAATACATCTGATAGGTTGATTTGTCCAAGTGATTGATGTGTCAATTTATTGATTGATTGATTGATTGATTGATTGATTGTCTCGTTGCAGGGCATAGCGTTTGCCTCCCTGTTCTTTATCCTGGTTTCCATCACTACATTCTGTCTGGAGACCCACGAGTACTTCAACGACCTGCAGAACCGCACGGAACGCGTGGTGGTGGGGAACCACACTAAGGAGGTGGTCTTGGTGGAGGTGAGAGAGATTCTTAGATGTAAATAGACTACGCGTAGTACCGCTTATATGTACAACAGAACGCGTGGTGGTGGGGAACCCACACAGAGGAGGTCTCAGTGGAGGCGAGAGAGAGGGATCCCCATTGTCAATAGATTATGATCCTGTCGAGAAAGAACCCTGAGCAGCTACCCCCTCGACTCTAGTGGAGATCTGGTGAAAGCAATATGGTGATAATTTAATTGTTTCTGGATAGGACCTAAACGTATTGGGCCTTTTTTTCAATGCATTGTACTGTACTGTATTGTACTGTACTGCATTGTACTGTAATGTAGTGTATTGTATTGTACTGCATTTTACTTTATTGTATTGTACTGTATTGTACTGCATTGTATTGTACTGTATTGCATTGCATTGTCTTGTATTTTTGTATTATGGCAAATTATTTTTTTTGCACATTTTAGTGACCAAATGAATTTCTCCTGTTGGGATAATAGTTAATCTAATAGATTGATAGATTGATACTTTAATGATCCCTGAATTTAAATTCAATAATCTAATGTATAATCTAATCTAATGTATAATCTAATCTAATGTATAATCTAATCTAATGTATATTCTAATCTAATCTATAATCTGATCTAATCTATAATCTAATCTAATGTATGATCTAATGTATAATCTAATCTAATGTATAATCTAATCGAATGTATAATCTAATGTATATTCTAATGTATAATCTAATCTAATGTATAATCTAATGATAATCTAATCTAATGTATAATCTAATGTATAAACTAATCTCAAATCTAATCTAATGTATAATCTAATGTATAATATAATCTAATGTATAATCTAATCTAATGTATAATATAATCTAATGTATAATCTAATGTATAATCTAGTCTAATGTATAATATATTGTATAATCTAATCTAATGTATAATCTAATATATAATCTAATCTAATGTATAATCTAATGTATAATCTAATCTAATGTATAATCTAATCTAATGTATAATCTAATGCATCATCTAATGTATAATCTAATGTGTAATCTAATCGAATGTATAATCGAATGTATAATCTAATCGAATGTATAATCTAATGTATAATCTAATCTAATGTATAATCTAATGATAATCTAATCTAATGTATAATCTAATGTATAAACTAATCTAAAATCTAATCTAATGTATAATCTAATGTATAATCTAATCTAATGTATAATCTAATGTATAATATAATCTAATGTATAATCTAATGTATAATCTAGTCTAATGTATAATCTATTGTATAATCTAATCTAATGTATAATCTAATATATAATCTAATCTAATGTATAATCTAATGTATAATCTAATCTAATGTATAATCTAATGCATCATCTAATGTATAATCTAATGTGTAATCTAATCTAATGTATAATCTTATGTATGATCTAATGTTTAATCTAATGTATAATCTAATGTATAATATAATGTATAATCAAATATATAATCTAATCTAATGTATAATCTAATGTATAATCTAATCTAATGTATAATCTAATCTAATGTATAATCTAATGCATAATCTAATGTATAATCTAATGTGTAATCTAATCTAATGTATAATCTAATCTAATGTATATCTTATGTAA